CTCAACTCAAGTCAACCAACAAGGTATTACTTTGCTTAACCCTAGAAAGATAATCATATTGAGTTATACGTAAAAGATAATCATACGTAAAATTGACTCCTTAGTTTTAACTGGCTGTTAAATGAAGAGTTTTTTACTGATTCGAGTAAAACAAAAAGTATTAGTTGTCTACTACCGTAATCAATTAAAAATACTAACATTTACTTATTTGTATTTATTCATTTTATAACAAAAATTACAAACTTCTCAATAATCAACAAAATTTAGGAACTTCTTTTTTCTTTTAAAGCTTTTTCATAATCTTATCATAAATCAGTATTTTTATATTATATTCTAAGTAATAAAAAACCAAAGTCAAAAAATAACATGAAAATTCTATAAAAAATCAGTCAAAACAGTTTAGGCACATATCAACCTGTTATTTGCCGACACCATAAGTGACAAATAACAGATTTACATTTTTTACATATGGCATTTGCTTTTCTCTTTATTTTAGAGGGGCAATATTTACAGCAGCCACGTTTTTTGGCTATTGGCTCAGTTTTATCCTCTTCTTGGGCACTCATTTGTAACAAATTATTTTTAATAGTGATAGTGCACGACTCATCACGGAGACATATAATGTTGCAGAAGATCGGTTGAAAAACTCACCTGTTGTTGTCTTTTCTCATTGCAGTCATTACCAAGATACCGATCAAAGCACGGATTTCATTCTCACTTGTGTCTTTGAATGTAGCACTAGTCATAGTTTCCCGTATTTTGAAGGACATTTCAGCATTGGTCCGTCTTACAATTTCGGAAATTATTTTATCCGTAAAGAAGATGTTGAAGCACAAAACAGAGTCATAAGGATTGCGGCACATGCGTTTTAGACCCCTTTGAGACCTGAATATATTCTGTGCTGAGACTCTACCACTTCTTGAAGACTTTGAGGTCGACCAGCAATGTCTATTCTTACCTCTGTTAGTTCTTCGTGACAGAGTTATTATTCGACGAGAATCCGTTGAGGGAGTTGCTTGTTCAGAGTTTTCTTCCTCCATGGGGTAAATTTAGAAAGGAGTTACTACTTCTTTTCCCTCACTTCGTTTACAAAACCATCTTCCTCATTGCAATGGATGTCATCCTCGCTCTCGTGGTCTTCAAGTTCTCTGTCGGTGTCAACACAGGGCGGCTTCTCATTACTCTCTAAAACAGCGGCCAGGATGTCGTCTTCATCCAAATCTCTAGTCCCCATTTTGGCTTAGCAGTATCACGATAACTAAAAAATAAAAACAATATCAGAAATAAATAAAAATAACGAATACAATAAAAACAACACGAATAACCATTTCACCAAATATCGTAAAAGTCACGTAAAAGATAATCATACGTAATTTTGACTCCTGTGACTATCGTATCTCAAAATGACGGGCACTTACCTCAATGATGCTATTGCCCCACGCTAGCTCCCAGCGGTGAATGAGATGTCTGAAAAGCACAACTCCGGATTCGCAATAATTAGAAGTTTAATAATTAGAATTAAAAGAGGCGGCATTATTTCGTTCGCGTGGAAGTCATTTTGACGTAGATTATCTTTCTAGGGGACGGGGGACTTCCCCCCCCCCCCCCCGTGACCATGGGTGCTGGAAATCGCCCGAAACGTCGGGAATTAAAAATAAAAAGTAAAAATAAACGCGATAAAATCCGTAAAAGTAGTTTTAATCATGTGCAATGTTCGCGTAAATATAAGAAATCATTAGAAATCTAAAATTTGGACTGTAGATAGCTACCTTTTACGACGTAGAAATCCGCTATGAAATCATTTTGAAAAATTCGATCCCCAAGAGTGTGAAATACATCCCTATTACAGTTTACTATTTTATTACAAAAATGTTTTACAGGGCGATTGACTCGATACAGAATGAGAGTACTGTGTTTAAAAAATAAATAAAAACGTACTTTGCGAATTTCAAAATAACCCGTTACGGTAAAGGGCCCAGGGCAGAGGGTATGATGCAATTTTGTAAGGAAATAAAATATTTTAGTATTTCTTAAAACAACCTCTTACCGGTGGCGGAGGGGTAGATAATGTTCAATTTGAAGGGAGAAAAAATATTTAATGCTTTAAAGTAATAAAATAATAAAATTTGCCTCTTACGGTTTTAAAACAAGGGTTCAAATTTTGTATGAAAAATATTGTGTTAAATCTACTTACAAGCTCAAATCGCTGGATGTAAATTCGTGAAATTGGAACAATAACTTCTTTTTATTAAGTAGGCATTTACTTATTTATTTATTTACTCTTTATTGTACACCAAAATACAAAACATTAAGTAGGTATAGTTTAATTTTAATTAGAATATATACAATAGGCGGTCTTATCATTTTGAAAGTGATTTCTTCCAGACAACCTTGGCGTAGAGAACTGATGCAAACAAAAGTTTAAATAGAGGGGGACATACAAAATAATAATCAATAGTATGAAAATGAAAATTATATATAAAATATCATATAATAGATTAAATGAAAAAAGTACAAGAAAGGAAAATTAATTTATCTAATAGCGTTCTAAGTAATACGATTTAAGGGGAAATATAACCTCAAATGGCTTAGCAAGATCCTCCGTTATGCCGAAAGTATTGCAGCATTAATTGCGGAGCGACAGGAACCAAGCTTACGCGCCGATAGTTTAGGTAATTTCTTTTTACAGTGAAAATAATGATATTTTAAAAAAAGTAAATAACATAAGCACTGCTTTATGGTTAGTTAAGTTAGTATGCAAAGTTTCATGATCTTATTTAAAGTATTTTATGAATAACAGCGGTTTATTGTTCAGTTTGGAGGTAACTTTGGATTTTTTTTCTATCGAGAAAATTTTACGGAATCGTGTTTTCGTCTAACATAAACCTTAACATTAATCCTCAACTTTACCATATATTTATTTCAAAATTAATTCTGCAATACTTTCGGCATAACGGAGGATCTTGCTAAGCCATTTGAGGTTATATTTCCCCTTAACAAGACTTTTGAAAGAGTGAAGAGATTTAGCACGACGAATATGGAGAGGTAAAGAGTTCCACAATCGCATAGCAGTTACGGTAAAGGATTTTTTAAAGGAAGAATAGTGCAAAAGAGAAGAGAGAGAAAGATTGACGGAGGATCGAAGGAACCGATTATGGGTCAGGGAAAGATACTGGAAACGGTTTTATAAATAATGAGGAGTGGAAGGATTAACAGCACGCTATACAATGCGGAGAGAATGTGAATATTGCTGCGAAGGTGGATCGGGGGCCATTTGAGCTGTTTGCGAAATTCGGAGATATGATCATATTTGCGAAACCCAAAAATAAATCTAATGCATAAATTTTGAATGCGCTCAAGCTTATTAAGCTGCTCGATAATGTCAAGATAACAAATATCAGCATAGTCAAGGATAGGCAGAAGTAGAGACTGGGCGAGCATAACTTTAGTTGCTGTGGGAAGAAAATTACGTAATCTACGTAAAGAACTTAATGCAGCAAACATTTTTCTACTAACCTCATTAACGTGTGAGGTCCAAGACATACAGGAGTCGAGATACAATCCCAGGTTTTTAACCTTGTTACTTTAAGGGATTAGTGTGCAGTCTAGTATAATAGGGGGTAGGGAAGACCAGTAAATTTTACCAATTAATCGAGAACTACCAATGACAATGACCTGAGTTTTCTTAGGATTAATCGTGAAACCATAACATTTACTCCAGTTCGAAATACAATTCATATCAGCGTTAATAGTGCCAACTGCTTTAGACAGATCTTCAAGAGAGGACTGAGTATAGATTTGGAGATCATCAGCATACAATTGGTAGAAAGAGGACAAATTATGACTTATAGAGTTAATGAAAATTGCAAACAGGCGAGGAGACAACACGCCCTCTTGTGGTACACCAGCAGCTGTAGTAGTCCAGGTGGAAAAACCTCTTGCACCTAAATTCGATGTCGGCGACCAAACAAGTAACTTCGAAAGCAGTCAACTACAGTTGGAGATATGTTGCATCCAGTAAAAAAGAAGTCTTGAAAAATGAAAGATTAAGAAAAAAAAATTAAGAATGTTTTTTTACGAAGTGATTTCGTATTGGTATCGCGGAAAATGATTAAATGATAATTGTAACTTTAAAATTAGTACAAACAAATACTTTAAGCTTAAAATAATGCAATTAGTTTTTTTTTTCATTTAATTTGTAATAAAACGGCTTTATGTGCTTTCTGAGGCATAAAGATGAAACCCAGCTAAACCATTGGCTTCGGGCTGCTACTGAGAAATTCTTGATAGAAAACTCAATTGATTTTAAGCCCGATGACACCTATTACTTAAAGAACTTAAAAAAAAACTTTCCTAGGTTGAGTTTGGTTTTATTTTTTATTTGTTTGCAGGATGAGACAAAATACAGATACTTACGCAATTTCATTATTTTGTTGGTGTAGGTAGTTACTTTTGGGTAGGCATTGGATTGTAATTTTCATTTCAAATTTTTTTATTCAATATCAATAATTGGTGATGGTGCTTGCTTCTCTTATTTGTTGTATGGAAACCAAGTATAGGCCAGAGAAATTCAAGAGCAAATTAGGGATTACGTTATAGCGGTCGGTAGTACGGTAGCGGCGAGGGGTCCGGAGCTGACGCTAGGGACTTCCTGAAGCCCTTCCAGTTGGTGTAGGTTTTGGAGGTGTAGGGGTTGGAGGTGGCTGATGGCCAAGAATGAGGGATACTGGTCGGATCCTAGATCATCGAGAGTCTCGATTGCTCTAAGGTTAAAGGAGACTCCTTTAACTAGAGTAAAATCTAGCACGTCAGGAGCATGGTACCAACATTGTCGGGATAGAGGGTGACGGCGAGGGGGCTGTAGACAGTGAGGTCGAGAGACTGAGTGATATTGAGCAGCACCCTGCCACTATTAGTAGTAGTGTGGCAGGTCCATTCAGTATGCTTGGAGTTAAAATCTCCAAACATAATGAATGAATTGCCTAATGCAAGGATGGCTTTGAAATCGCTCTTGATCGCTGGGGATATAGCAGGAGGCTATGACGATAGACTAGTGTCCAGACATGGCTATTCTACTTATGGTGGCTTCCATATTGCTAAGCGTCGGAGTGGGGATGTGGGAGCAATGAAGCGACTTTTTATAGTAAATGGCAGTACCGCCGCCTTTGCGGACGGATCTGTCTAGAGCCTAAGCTCAGAGAGGTTATTTCGCAAACAGCGAATATTTAAAGAAACAAGCGACAAACCCTTTGGTTTGATACGACCGTGTGATTTTGCGGGAGCAGAAGGTTCTGGCATTATGTTGTTACAACGACCTTAAAAGACTGTTATGCTCAATAAGAGCAAAGAGACGGCCCTGAGGGGACTGAGCAGCGCGCAGTCTGCGCGCTAAGATAGTAATCTCCCCTAAGTTGACGTTACGCATAGTGGTATACACTAAGTTCATATCGTCGACTATAGGGTCTGCCCGTTGTGGGGCGGCGGAGGGCTGCACGATTTTTGTCTTTTTTGGGGCCCCAAGGGGTAATTGGGAGCGGAGAGAGCTGTGAAAGAGACAGGCCCATAAGGGGCCGAGGAGGGCCCTGCGGGGGGCCGATAGATGCCCTGAGAAAATATATATGAGAATACATAATTCTAATATCACGCAACTAATATACCGAATAAAGAAAATTAAAATACATTCATCGTTGTCTGCCGTGTCTATTTCCATAAAATAGTTTATTGATGTTGAAAAAATAATACTACGTTCGAACTGTAGGTGGCGTCTTGCAGATTTCATACGCGATATATTGTAGCGAGAGTCGGCGGACCGAACGCTCAAGGTCGTTCGCTAGGGGAAACGCCCCATGTCATTTAATGTCTCTTTAGGCATATCACTAAGAACCTCTGACCTGTTACTTAACCAGTTATGCATCACAAAACCACCTTGCTGGTTAATATATGAAATATTTTTTATCATTTTTGTAGTAGTGGTGACGTCTGATAAACTATCGATAAAATCGTCCATATATTGATTTTTAATAACATAAACTGCGTCTGGCACTTTATTCTGAGGGCACAATATATTTTTAGTTTGATTTATATATTATATAAAAATTAGTAACGTCATAATATATTTTTTAATTGAATGTAGCTAGTCGCGCCAAACATGCGCTCGAATTAATGTATTCATATTTATCATAGATGGCGGTGGTGTGTGTAAAAATTGTCACTCCAATTCAACTTCAAAAAAGG